TACCCATGCACTTAGCAGAATAAATTCACAATGGCCCCCAAATTCTACCTTACAAAGAACAACACTACTGAGAAGATATTTTGGTGTAAGGGAGATGGTGAAGCTAGAAAGCAGCTGTACTTGGTCTGTCAACAGATTTTAGCACCTGTCCTAATGGATGTTGGTGACTGCTGTGTGCAATTTTTGAAATTTTCATCAGGTGAAAATAAAATGTGTTCTGGTAGCTTGGTTTCTAATATGTTCTCTCTTATCAGAACAGGAGTTGCTCTTAGAATCCATCTGCTTAGGCTCAAGTCCCTATGGGCAAGAGGGTCTTTTCCATATCTAGTGGTGGAACCCCCAGCTGATCTAGTGAGAGGTGCAGTTTAGGTGCTTTAGCTGGCATTGTTTTATAGTGAAACCCTGTGGCTAACTGTCTATGTCTAGCATCTCCAGGAGGTAGCTGAGTTAGTCTGTACAGGAGAAACTTAAAAAACAAAAACTGGTCTGGTAGCACTTTATAGACTAAAAAAACATGTAGATGGTATCATCAGCTTTCGTGGGCACAGCCCACTTCTTCAGATGACCGAAGTTTTGAATTTAGGTTGTGCAGACCCAAAAAATGGGAGAAGGGGGGAGAAAAAAAGGAGGGGCAGGAAACAAAGAGCAGAGGCTATGAAAAAATCAAAGGGAAAAACAGGAAGGCAGAAGGGTCATTACTAAGCACTTGAATATTGGCCAGTTAAAATGAAGGCGATAAGGATCAAAGTCAATATAGGAGGTGGTGGTTACTAACCCAGGAATCTCCACAAAGAGCTGTTTGCACCTTCATTGAATGTTAGGTTGATAATGGCCCAGCCACCCCTCATCCCGATTGAGTCCATTTGCAATAACATTTTATGACTTTAAAATAACAATCATATTGTGACTTGTTTTTAAATGTGCTATTAAATTAAATGTTGATCTTATGACCTTGTTTAGCATTTGTTTATTATTATCCTTACTTATTTCTGGTCTATTTGTTCAGCTCCTTGTATTAGACTGTTATTAGGGGTTCCACAAAATTCTTTCGAGTTTAAAAGGGTTCTGTGGCCAAATAAAATTGGGAAACACTGGTATAAGCACTTCAATAATTTGTCACTATTTATCCATCTGCCATTTCTTGATATGTTAGACTTTTTCTTTTGATTGTGTCTCATCTGATCTGATCCATACTTCCATCCTCCCCTCCTGACTAGAACACAGAGCATCTCTATTAATAGAACTTCCCCTAATTCATAGGCGTGCGCAACACATTTCATTAGGGTGTGCACCCAAAGAATTTTTTAAAAATGTACTTTGACCCCCCCATTAGCCACACCCCTGACCCCTATTAACCACGCCCCTAGCCCCCCATTAGCCACGCCTCTGGAGATAACCCTCTCCAGGCAAGATAGGCACATGACCAAAAGTAAAAAGTGTTATGTGACACCCCTCCTCATTCCCTCATCTAACACCTCCCTCGCCTCTCTCCTCTGGTGCTGGTCCCTCCCCTGCAAGTGTCTGCCCTTCTGCTTCACCTCCAGAATCCCCTAGCACCTGCACCTTCCCTTACCCCTCCTGGTGCCTCCCCCTTCCTTCACTGCCCCTGCCCCCTTTGCCCTTTTTTCCCTGATGCCCACTCCCTCACCACCCTCTGCCCCCATTCCCCTCATGCCCCTGTGCCCTCACACATGACTTGCTCCAACCCCACCTTCCTCATGCCCACCCCTTCTGTCAAGCCTTCTCCCAGCACCTCCCCCTCCAATCCCCAATGCCCTTATCCTCTCCTCTTCCAGCATCATCCTGTCCCCCCTTTCACTGACACCTCCCCTCCTGCCCTTTTCCTCATTGTCTCCACTTCCTCCCTAGCATTTGTGTTTCCTCTACACTGTCCCTTTGGTGCCTTCCCCTTTCTTCCCCCTCTCCCTTTCCCCCTCTGTACAAGCCCCTTCCACCTCTTCCCCTTTCTTCCTCCTCCACCCTCCCCCACCACAAAAGCCCCTTCCTCTCCCACCCCTCTCTCTTATTCCCTCCCCCTCCGCCTTACCTTCAGCTTTTGCCTTACAGCTTGCAGGGCTGGAGTCAGAGCCAGCCCAAGCTGCAGGGCCGGGGTGGGGCCCCC